ACCCCCTCCCCTCTAAAAAATGGAGACCAGGTCCTGTGGTTCTCATAGATCTCACAAATCTCATCCCCTCTGCTCCTGTGGCCACGAAAAATGTCCACACAACCCAAACCCCGAGCCCGTTGCCCCCACATCCCAGGGGGACAGCTTTCCCAGCTGGTTTCCCTGCAGATTTGGGGTCCCTAGTGGTGCTGGGGGCTGGCTCAGCCCCCCCCACCCCAGAGCAAGCCCCTCCTTCGGGCTTTTGCGGTTGGGTGTTGGGATCAGCGGCTGGAGCCTGCCCCATCCCACCTCCTGGGAGTTTCTCTCCCATTTGCTGCAGGTTCCTGACCCGGGGATGGGTGCTGGGGCGGGTGCTCCTGCTTGGAAAGGGGGACTTGGGTAGAGGAAACCCCTTTGGCCTCAGCCATGCTCTTTGGTTCCTGGCCTGTAACCCAGGCAGTGGTGCTCATTGTAACTTGCTTATAAAGGATTCTGATGGGGGTTTTTTGCTGCTTCAGAGGCTTCAGAGATAATGAAGAGCATTGGGGAAGCCATCCAGTACCTACACTCGATCAACATCGCGCACCGGGACGTGAAGGTACCGTGCTGCACGCTCGCCCAGCAGTGCCGAGCCCTGCTTGGCCTGTGGCAATGCTGAGGCTGCTCCGGCTCTTCTGCTCACTTCTTCTTCCCTGTGTTTTCACAGCCGGAAAACCTCTTGTACACCTCCAAAAGGCCCAATGCTGTGCTAAAACTCACAGACTTTGGCTTTGCTAAAGAAACCACCACGCACAACTCCTTGGCCACTCCGTGCTACACACCGTACTACGTGGGTAAGTGGCTGGAGGGGTCTGAGCTTGCAGGTTTGCAGGGCTGGAGGGCAGAGCCGGGGAGGTTTGGACGGTGCCATGCACAGCCCATCACCTCTGCATCCAGCCCGGAGCCTCAGTCGCAGCGTGGTGTTGCGGGCGACTCCTGTCTGGGATGCTTGGGACTGGGGGCTGCTTTGGGTGCAGGTGGGTGCTGTGTTTGCCGCTCCCCGGTGCGTGCAGGACGGGCTGCTCTGAGCGCGGTGTCGGTGTGTGCAGCCAATGTGTTGCATACCCGTGCTGCAGCCTCCCTTGTGTTGTGCTCGAGGCTGCGAGGCAGCACCACCCTGCACCATTCCTGCCTCTGCTGCCTTGCATGGCCACGCTGAAGCCTGTGCAGCAGCGCCCGCATTGCTGCGAGCAGGGCTGCAGAGACTGCACGGAGCTGCAGGCAGCTCTGTGGCAGCTCCATGGGATGGTCAGGTCCCCCTCGCCTGGTGCTGCCACTTTGACTCAGGACTTTGTTTCTCTTTTTACCAGCCCCGGAGGTGCTGGGCCCCGAGAAGTACGACAAGTCCTGCGACATGTGGTCCCTCGGCGTCATCATGTACATTCTGTAAGTCCAGCGGGTCCCTCTCTGTCCTGCCGGGGTCAGAAGGGGGGGATGCAGCTTTCGAGCTCGTCTGCTGGCTGGCGGGGCTGAACCTTTCCCAGTCGCGCTGCTCCTGCTCCTGGCACTGCCCTGTGCCCCGCAGGTGCTGCTGGGGAGGGTTTTGGGGCGATGAGCTGACTCTCTGCTCCCTCTCCCGGCGCAGGCTGTGCGGGTACCCCCCTTTCTACTCCAACCACGGCCTGGCCATCTCGCCCGGCATGAAGAAGCGAATCCGAATGGGCCAGTACGAGTTTCCCAACCCCGAATGGTCCGAAGTGTCAGAGGAAGGTAAATGTGGTCCCCGTGATGGCTTGTCCCCGGGCTGAGGTCTCCCTTTGGGGTCAGCCCTGTGTCTGGCAGCGCTGCGAAGGTGCAGGAGCCTGGGCACGTCGTGGGTCACCTCTCAGTGATGCAGCAGCTTCGCTTCTTTGCTCGGGGGGTTTGACCGGGGTGAGGTCTGTGGCACGGAGGGGACGGGAGGCACGTGCAGGCATTTTGGGGCCGCTGGCTTGGGATGGAGCGCGGGGAGAGCCACCCTGGGACCTGCTAATGCCCAGCCCTGCACAAACCCTTCCAGTTAAGCAGCTGATCCGCAACCTGCTGAAGACGGATCCAACCCAGCGCATGACAATAACGGAGTTCATGAACCACCCCTGGATCATGGTGAGTGCAGGGTTGATGAAGCAGCGGGAC